AAAAAATTTAATGGTAAGCTCAATTAATATATCCTTTGTGCATCAATACTAAGCCACCATTTTAGTGGTGATTCTCTTTCTTTTTGAAATGTTTGATTATATAGTTTTTTTTGATATTTGTAAATATAAAGTTCTGTTAGCAAATCTTCATATAAAGCTTCATCATATCCAAGATTTTTCCATATTGTAGCTGCTGTTTCACAAATGTCATGAAATAGATCACATTTTAATCCAATGCCTTAAATAGAATATATTAGTATTAGTATATATTATGTAACTAAGCTTACTATAATAATGTTATTACCTCAGTATAAGGGGTGCAAATAATATGCTAATTGATATAATGATATAGAGAATTCTTTAAATCATAAATTGTATATTTTTATTGCTTGAGGTTTAAATGAATTTGTATTTGAAAGCCGATTTATAACTAAAGCAATTCTAATTAATATAATATAAAAATCGGCAATTGTAGCATAATAGCTTTCTAATTGATTTATTATCTCTTTAATTGGTCACATTATTGATGATACATATCAACAATTATTAAAAAATTCGTGATCTTGAATCACATTAAAAACATCATTATTAGAAATTAATGTTGTATGATTATTAATTAACTAAAATTAAAAAAAATTAATTTATTTGAAATATAAATATATTAAATATATTTATTTTTACTTACTCAATCGAAAACTGGTTAAGCATAAACCAAAGAATCCACTGTATTATATAACGAACCCCATTAGGTTTTACAATATGATTTTAGTTTGCCTTCTTCAATGTCATAGCTATTAATCCTTTCTTTAAAAAACTATTAGCCATTGACAAATGATGAAAAAAATTGATTATTAAACTATATTTTTTAATTAGCTTTTTTATCTCAATTGTTTCTGACAAATCTGAGGCAATTAAGTTAATTGTATAGGCACCACAGCATATGTCTAAAATGAAATTATATTTATTATTCACTAAATGTCTAGCCTGTCTTATATTTGAAC